ACTGAACTGTGCATGTAGAAATTTTTGAAATGGTGTATCTTTGGCTATGTGTATTTTCACCAAAAAAAGAGGTTGAGAAGTTAGAGGGTTGATATGTTGTGAGGTTGTTAACCAATGTCATAAAACAATATGTGTACTTACTATTTGTTCTGTAAGCCTTCACCTGAAGTACAATTAAAAAAAATAAAATTAAAAAGAAAAAAAAGAGAATATGGAAAAAAAAAGAGAAAAGGCGGCCACTTAGGAAAAAGGAAAACAATAATGCAAAATTCTGTGATCCCTTGAAGGCCAATCTGTCAAACACTTCCATAAGCAAAAGCTGATGGCTTTTATCAAGTGATTGTAAAAAACATCATTTACATTTATCTAATGAATTTTTATTGATAAAAATGGAAAATATTTTAAGCATTTTCTAAGATTCTAAACTAAATTTTTAAATTAACATATTCATACCTCTGAGACCAAAAGAACTTTTGTTTAATAGATCCTGAGCTACACTGTGAGTATCTGATGCCAGTTCTGTGGACCAATATAAAATGGAAGGTTTTAACATATCAAAACGACAAAGGTATTCATTAGAAGAGAAAAAGGCAAATATCACAGCTAATTGTATATGTTGTGCTGCTGTCCAAGGACAGGGAAATGTACTGCCATCCACCGTGACAGGCCACTGTGACTCAAGCTATAAATCTTATTAGCCTGGTGCTCCTGGCAGATTCAAATTACATCAACTATCTGAGTTCCGCAAGTTCCCTTCCTACCTGTCAAAGAGAACCTTCCAATCTATGTGAAAAGTGTATTTTTTTTAAGTAAATTTATAAACTGGCATTCTGAGTATACACTGGTCTTTCTAGTTTGGTTAAAGTGAGTCTGAATTCAGAACTGTCTTATTAACAAAACAACAGTACTCAGTGAGGCCTCTAGAGAAATAGCCATCTACTGAGACCCTTTAACTCTACTGTTCAACAAATGCATTTTGCTTATCTAAATGTTTTTCAGCAAGGAATCTGCTACTCTAAATGGGGGAGGGAGAGGAAGGAGAGGGAGAGGAAGGGCAAGAAGGAAAAGAAATGAAAAATGATAGTTAATTTTTATTTAAAAAAATCGACAAACATCAGGTTTTTAATGTGAATGTGTCTAATTAGCCATTTAGGAGTTATTTTTTGTATATGGTGCAATGTATGGATTAAGATTCATTTTTCTTACATCTGAATTTCTAATTGTTCCAGTATCATTTGTAGAAGGGAATATTCATTCCACATTGCCTTGATACCTTTGTCAAAAATCAACTGGCCATATATGTGGGTTTATTTCTAGTCTTGCTATTATGTTCCACTGACAAAGCTCTCAACAATTCCACACTGTCTTAAATATTGTAGCTTTAGAGTGAGCCATGAAATCAGGAGTGTCAGTTTTTCAACGCTGTTGTTCTTTTTCAAAATTGTTTTGGTTACTCCTTCGCTTTTCCTCTAAAAATTTTAGAATCAAGCTGTCAATCTGTACAGAAAAAGTCTGTTGGGCAGCGATGACATTTAAAGAATGAGTCTTCCAATTCATGAACACTGACTGTCTCCCTTTCTACGTGGATCTTTGATTTTTCTCATCATGTTACGTAATTTTCAACATACACTAAATACTTTGCACATACATTGTCAGATTTATCCATATTTCATTTTTTGGTGGTCTTATAAAGGGTACTTTTCTTTTTTATTTCCAATTGCAATTTTTTTTCAACTATACAACACTGCTAGTATAGAAATACAGTATCGCCACTGTAGTGGTGGTTCTGTGATTTTATGCATTTGTCCAAATCCATTCACCTGATCTGTACCCCTAAGAAGGGTAAATTTTAATGTGTGTAAATTACACTTGAATATATCTGATTTTTAACAAAATCAGTGGGGAAAACTTTAGTGTGGTTGACGACCATGGAGTAGTAAATCCAAAGACTGAGTCAGTAAAATGTAAACGTCGCAATAGCGAGACTTAACAATATACAAAAATGGTCTATTCTTCCATTTATTATGTCTTATTTAATTTCTCTCAATATTGTTTATACTTTTCTAGGCAGAGGTATTTTCTATCTTGTATAGCATTAGATTTATTCCTATGTATGTGATGTTTTGTGGGGTTACTATCAATTTTTCCCTATTTTCTTTTTGTTGATGGTTTACAGAAATATATGTTGATTGAACTTGTATCTAATACCTGTTAAACTCCCTTATTAACTCTAATAATTTGTCTACAGATTCTTTTATATCATTTCCAAAACTGATAGGGTATGTTTTCTCCTTTCCATACCTTAAGCCTTTTCTTTTTCTTTCCTCATCGCACTGGTTAGAATTTCCAGTATAGTGGTGTACAGAAGCAGTGAGAGCAAGCATCTTTACCTTGTTCCAGAGGGATAACTTTCAACACATCACCATTAAGTGTAATGTTTGTTCTAAGTTATGTAGATATCCTGTATGAGAAAATTTCCTTCTATTCCTGATTTTTACATTTTTTTTTTAAATCATGAATAGATGTCGAGCTTTGTAAAATGAGTTTCCTTACTGAAATGATCATGTGAATTTTCTCCTTTATTCTGTTAAAGAAGTGAATAATAGTGATTCTTTTTA